AAAATTTGGTGAAACATTTCTGCTACCCACAGTACTGAGTCCTTTCCCCATTGTATTTCCAGGCCCATTTGCATGTGTAACATAGTGATAATTCATGCCTCTTGGAGTGGTATGGGTTGAGATAAAATGAGCCTGTCAATCCATTGCCTATTATAAAAGTATAAATTACTTTAGTTACTGTTTAAAATTACAAATTTCAGATAGGGAACATGATAATGTGTGATGACACGATATGATTACTCTAGATATTTTTCTGGTTTGTAAGTACTTGATTAGAACAGATAGATGAACTGTTGAGGTTTCTGCAAAGAAAAACAAGGATTTTTGTTTTTATTTGTTTGTTTTTGTTTTGTTTTTTGAGACAGGGTCTCATTATGTAGTTGAGACTGACCTGGAACTCACTATGTAGCTCAGGCTGGTCTCGAACTCACAGTGATCCTCCTCCTTCAGCCTCCGAGTGCTGGAATTATAGGTGTGCGCCACCATGCCTGCCTCAAAACTAGAGTGCTGCATTTCTTTAACTGCTCACAGCAGGGCTTACCTGGACTAATCAAAGGCATTAGTTTCTGACCACTTTCACATGCACGTGCAGTGTTCAAATACAGGGCTGGTTTCTGAGTTTATGCTCATGGAAACGACACGATACACTGATGTGGGCGACTCTGATAAATGACGACCCTTAGCTGGTGACATAGCTGCACCACACACAAGTTACACCGAAGGGGTAGTTAAGCAAACTATGTCTCAGAAATGGTGGTAGATGCTTTTTCAAATAAACTTCTATGGTACAAATTATATAATGGTGAGAAGTAGGAATGATATGCCATTGTAATCTTTTAACACGGCTTATTAGGGTTAGGGAAATTTCCTAGTTTTTGATGCATGCCTTGTCCTTTTTTGTTTATTTTCCTCAAAACTATCCTGAACTAGTTTACGTTTGAAATCATCGGGGTGTTTTTACAAGTTCTTTGTTCTTCCTGTAGTCATTCACAAGTAGATCGATTTACTCTGGTTGCTAGAACTCTTCAAATGAAAGATGGAGAATACAGGATCGCCCAGAAAACAATTAGGCAGGTGTAAGTTTTATTGCTGTGATCCTGGAGGTCCGTGTCAGCAGATGTCTGTGAAGGTGAAAAGGCGGAGGAAGAGGAGGAGGAGAAGAGGGGGCAGCGGAGGAGGGGGAAGAAGAGGAGCATGGAGAGAGAGGAGGAGGAGGTGCAGGATGAGGTGGAGAGAGTGGTGTCGGTGGTTAAGGGGATGAAGTCGAGGACATGGAGAAGCCCGCATTTACCTGAGTTTGAATATTCTGGTTTCGACAGCTTCCCAAGTTCCCATCCTTTCGGATTTCAATTTTCTCTTAAAAAAAAAAAAAGGACTCTGTCCAACAGTTAAGATATAAGAGCCAGTGGCAAGTGTTTTTGATTCTGTGTACCAGTTTCACTGAGGTGGCACTGAAACCGTGGTATAAATTCCTTAAACCCTGTGCTACTTCTGCTCCTGGCTGTGTTCAAAAAGAATAGTATGGGTCCTAAAGATAATTAACTAGGGTAAGACTTTTTAAAGTTCTAAGAGAATATTTAATTACATAAATTTCCACCACTTTAATAATTACACTCGGATTTGATGTCAATCTTTATACTTTGACTATATTCTAAAATTTTACATCAATATACACATTTTCTTGTTGATTTCATTTCCTGTCTTTATTAGCTGCATCATTGGTATTTTTTTTCATGAATTTCTTTTCTCTGATCATATCTTTTCATACTGTTTTGGGTCAGTGAGTCAATTCTGCTTCTGCTAGTACTTGGATTCTAATCATAACCTCTATATTTCATCTTATTTAAATTAGGTTTTCTTCCCCATAATGTCTACTGCAAGCATATTAGACTATTTTTGTATAAAAATAACATTTTATTTTTAAAGAAAAATGTACTTTAGTTTACTATGACTACAAATAATATATCTCAAATTTTATATAATTTTTTAATGAATCTTTATCTTAATTGTATATGAATTACTCTTTGTTTATATATGTCCTAGTTACTTTTCTTATTGCTGAGACAAAATACCCAATACCAAAAGTTAAAGAAAGGATGAAAGGTTCATTTGGATCACAGTTCGTAAAGGTTTTAGTTCATAATGGGCTGGTTCCAAGGCAGGGTGGCATGGCAGAGGGGCATCACAAAGGATAAACAGTGTGTACCAGGCAGAAGGCAGAAGGCAGCAAGCAGCAAGGGACAAGCAGTGTCCTTCTTTCTGTCCCTTATATCTTATCCAGGCTAGCCACTCTTAGGGTGGATAGCCCTTACACCCAGGGTGGGGTGGGCACCCTTAGTCCTACCTAGAACTATGCCAAAGCAATCTGTGGACTAATTTCATAATCACACACTCTTGATCCCAGCAGCACACATGCCAGATCCAGCCACCTATGAAAAGCCACACCTATGACTGCCTGAGGTTTTGGGGGGAGTCTAGACACGATAGCGTGTGCACTTGTGTCTTTTACCTAAGCTGGGAGAAAAAAAGTGTCACCATTAAATTTTAGAACTAGAATTTTGCAGCTATGAATATCCTTAGAGGTCATCTAGTTTAAACTTTTAATTTTATAGATCAGGAAGTAGGTACAGTATACCTCTGTGGAGTTGCTGTTCAGAGTTCCTGGTCTCAGTCATTCGTGGATTTTAACTTTGAATCTAACTAATAATTGTTCTAACCCCCTCTCCCCCGATTTCGTGGAAACTGCAAATATCCTCTACAATACAATTGTTTCTTCGGTGGGAGGTTTGCAAATAGCCAATCTGAGAGCATTGTTTAGTTCTCCCTGCTGCTGATTGGCTACTGCCATATATTGGGCAGATGCACCAGCATTTCTGCATCCTAACAAGTTGCTGTACTGCATGTAGCTGTCTTAAGGGTTCTTGGTTTTGTTCTTAAAGCCCTAAGAACCCTAAGATGTTGCCAAAATGCCCTGCACTTTCTAAGGCTTTACTACTACAACACTTCATTAAATTAAATTACATAATTGTGGGAGACATAGCATGTTTAGGGTTTAAACTATGAAAATAGGCATTTCTAGCGATTTTCCTGACCGTACCTAAAATTCATAGCTTTTTACAATTCGCAGGTACTCTAGGAACGGGGTACCCATGAATTTCATGGGTCTGCTGTAAATCATTATTTGTCTAAGGCCACAAAAATACTTAGCTGCGGAGTAGGGACTAGACTCGCGGAGTCCTGGGCCCCTAATCCCTGTTGCTAGGGTTCCAGGCCTAATAAGTGTACACGCTTTAATTGCCAAGTCTGGGTCCAGGTCAACTCAGCGTGGGCCAAACCCTCAGATGAGCTTTCTATTTGTAGTTACTGCACCTGTAATTTAGGCCATCTTTAGCCACCATCTTCTGAACCAGAAGTTGAGAGGGAGAACCAGCACAGATCCTGCTGGAAAAACAGGTGTTACACAGATACTGGGAGTCACCTTTGTTTCCCAAGACAACACATCACTTCTCAGAGACAGCAATCCACTGTGTTCATTTGACATTTAAATCACATTCTCTATGAAACAGGTACTGCATTTTCCCCAGAGTAGAGCTCCTGCCCTCGGGGAACTTAAAATCTAAGGTGAAGGCAAACGTGAAACAAGTAACTATACAAAGAGTTGAATCCTAAAATATCATGTTAATTTCCTTCTATGTACTACAGTTGCTTGCAAAATTTGCCACGTTAATATACAACCACTGAAAGGGAGCAGATCAACATATAATGGAGGGTTGTTTACTGTTCTTTCTTTTCCAGAATTTTCCAAACATACAGAAATATATGGATGTCTATATATTTTTTTCACAAATAGGTTAGTAGTAAACATTTTATGCCACTCGCCCTAGATATATGTACATATAAATACATGTTAATCTGTTTCACTTTAACAAATGGTTGCATATTATAGCTTTGCATGAAGAATTTGTAATTTATGTAAGCAAAACTAGACCATTTTTTTAAAGTCAGAAATATTGGGGAGGTAAAACATACATCAACACATGGATACTGTGTTTGAAACAGCCAGCGGCAGTGTAAGCCCTCAGCCACAGCCAGCGTTGTCAAAGTTTATTTCATCAGTGGCTTTTTATTAGTCATCTCATTGACTCCTAGAACCTGTCAGTGTTTTGATAGCTTGCTTTTTTTCTTTTCATTCATTACGGGTTACAACTTTCTCCCTAACTAATCTGAGGAAGTGGTAAAAGTCAAAACATTTTCCTGTATGAGGCCACACTTGGTACTGTCTGTAATTATCTAGCTAGGGCCGCCAGGATCCAACATCCTCGCGTTTCCTTTCATACTGACTTTCCTTGCAAACTCCTGGCCCTCTCAGCCTACACTTGGCCTGACTTCCTCCCTCTTATCAGAAGCAATCTATCAAGATCCTGTAATGTGCTCAGTGCGGGGCAGAACAAATCCGTATTCCAGTGTTTCACCTCACAATTTAAGGAAGGCAGGGGTCAAGTTTTTTGTATTAAGATAAAAATCTTTTAACAAAACACAAATTCCCAAAACTTCCTTTAATCTAAACAGCATGGTCACACCCAGGCAAGCTTTTATTGCTCGCAAAGCCAGATGACTGGATTGCTGTGTTTCTATTCATACGGACTTCACTGGCCCCAAATCAAGGCTTCCAGGCCCGCCCCCGTCTTCCCCTTTTCTCCCCTGGGAGACTGACGTTTGGGGTTCCAGCTGCACCGCACTTTACTGGAATGAAGACAAGGCGCGTTCCTTGCCAGAACTGTTTGTCCTGGGGTTTCGTAAAGTACCCCCTACTCCTTTTTCAAAGCTCATTGTTTTTGAAGTGGGGGAAAGTGAAGTCAGAATCGTTTTTAGCCTCTAAATCTTCTAATTCAGAGGTCTATTATTTTAAAAAAACGGGATACAAAAGTCGAAGGTCTGTATTCGGCACTCTCTGTAGAACAGGATATTGACAATAGAAACCAACTGCTTTTCCATTCTAGTCACCCAGTGTCAGACACCAGGTTGAGGAGCAGAGACGGAGTCCTGCCTTCCGGAGTCCCAGCCCGAGCCTCCACTTCCAGACTCGATCTCAAAGGAGGGGGGGCTTTGCTTCCGCGGTTTTCACTTCACCGCTGTTTCGCAAAAATTAAGAAACTAATCACTTCCGCTCTCCCTCCAGGAGCCCGGCAGCACGGTGTCCAGGAAGCCTCGG